ATAGATTTAATGTTGCATGCGTTAGGTGCTGAATTGACCTAGGCACCCCCCAGAGTCCAAAGTCGGTGAACAGGTAAGACTGAGGACTGCCCCTGCACTGCCTCCACCCAGGGAAGGTGATTCTAAACTCTGCCGGCAATTTACTGTAAATAGCAAAAGCGAAATCCTTAACTCGGCACATGTACGTACTTATATGTACGGATTTGAGCCTATATAAATCCAAATCCAAATCCAACATCTTCAAATCCGTCTTTTCTCAAGATTGTTTTTTATATCTGCCCCTGAATACTTTCGTTTCAGTAATTTTTTATACAAACTGAATACGAAGATAAAACAAAACACAAAAATAAAATAAATAGACCAGAATTAACGAATAAAGTCCTCACGTTGTAACGATTGGGGAATATCAAATCCCGTTTCATTTTGTCTTGGAAAATTATCATCCCTCAGAGTGGACATTTTCACTAACAATTTTCCTTGAAATTTTGAGATGTTTTAAAAAAAAAAGTTGCTATGAGGACCAGATTTATGCATCCCAATAATGCGAACATTTATTTTTATCGTTAATACGAAATAAATATTTCTCGTATTTTTTAAACGAATATATAAAAAATATATTTTGCATTGTATAAATTCACTTTTCCACATCCAAAATGTAATTGTTATATGTAAACAATGTTTGTAAATCCCAGGCCCTGAAGATGATTTCAAAAAAGATCGAAACGTTGGCAAGATAAAGAAAATGTTTTTCTGAAACCTACATCACACCAGACCGCATCTCACGATTTCTAAATAAATATCGATTAACGGTCACTAATCACCACACTTTTTTAAACTAATTAAATTTTGCCAAGATAATCTTGGGTAATGAGAGACATAATCATTCATTGACTTAATGTACAAAAACGGATTTATTTGTTTAAGAAATATGTTCAGATAATCCAGTATGAAATGCTTGGTTTAAAATTTATATTCATACGTTAAATTGTATTTTTTTTTAAATCAACATATGTTTTCTAATTTAATCAGGCCCCTGACGAACAGAAGATGACCTGAATAAAGGTCGAAACGTCGACAAAACAAAGAAGAAGGTGATTTTCTAAACTACCAAATTCTTGAACGCTCCTCACATCAACAAATATCTGTTTTATGTTATAATAAAATTTGTTACTCAGTCAATACTTTTTACTTTCAACCAAATACTCTAAAACAAGTCAAACCAGAGGTCATGCTCCCTGAAAAAAAAACAGCCCGCTTATTTCGTTACAATTATGAGCAAAAAAAAACTTTTACAGGGATTTTTGAGCCAAATAAATCTAGAGTACGTCCAACATTCTTATAAAAAAGGCAGTATATCATTTTTCTATATTTCTATGATAATAAATGAATTTTTAGAAAACTATTATTTCAAAATCGTGGAACCTTGAAATTGTAGATCTTATCTCCCCATACAAAAAGAAGAAAAAGCGTTTTTAATTTCTGAAAGTTTTGGAAAAGTAAAATATTTTTGAAATGACGAATTCAAGTATACTATTACAACCAGACGTAAAAAGTATCTTTCACAACTAAACTTTTTTCTTTTTTCAATTACTGAATGATATGAAATAAAATCATTATTTATTCGTACCTGTTATTGTTAAAAACGAGTTGAAAAAAATATAATTTTGATTTTTTTTTTAAATAAAAATCCAAGGTTTTTTCAGTTATCTCATAATGAAGCCGGTTTAGCATTTTTCGATATAAGTGTTGTTATTTTTTATTTCCTGGGGTTAAACTAGTAAAACTAGATACTGTTTGTTTTAAAGTAACGTAACCTCTAAGCACGCAAACTTTACCTTTTAAAACTTAAATAAGAAAAAAATTGGTTTGATTCAATTTGACAAGAGCCATCCTATTTAAATGATTTCTTTTTTTATAAGTTTTGAAATGATTTTTAATTATCAGCAAAAAAAAAATTAAATATTTTTTATTTGCAAATTTTGGATTTTATTTTTGCGGTTTCGAATGCGGACCTGGCTGAATAATGGTCGTAACGTGTTGACCCCTGGCTTTCATCCATCCTCGTATTACCGTATTAATTTATTATGACACATCATAAATATTGTTTCTCTCCGAGTCGAAATAATGGACGACGTTGATTGATCAGGGACCGTACACGGTTTTTTTTATACCTCAGACCGGGCTCGGTTTTGTTTGCAGTTTCAAAGCTGCAACGTTGCCCAAGAGAAAATGTTTATTCGGGTAGTGACAGAATTAATTTGCTTTGATAACAACAGTGAACAAAAAGTAAGCTTTTACTGGAATCTAAACAATGAAAACGGTGGGCTTTCTCAAAGGAGAAAACGGTGAAAACCATCGACGGGGTGAGGTTAAAGGTGAAAATTTTAAATAAGCTTTTCCAAAAAGGCGTAGAAGTTAACAAATTTTATCAATGGTCAAACAAAATTTGTGTAAAAACGCAGAAAAAATCATCCATAATGCAAAAAAAAAATAGTTCATTATTGATTCAATTTAAATCTGCCATTGATTACGTAATTTATTCGCCAAATTGACTCTTTTTAATTTGAAATTAACCTTTTTTTTATTCCAAATTAACCCATTTTAATTTCAAATTGATCGTTTTTTAATTTTAAGTTAACATTTTTAATCTCAAATTAGCCCTTTCTTTAAAGAATCAAAAACTAAGTACATGATATATGGAGAAGCAGAGAAATAAAATTCCTGGATAATTGCAATTTTTTAAATATAAAAAATTGTGCTCTTAGACAACTATCTGGTAATTAATTAACATTAGAATTGAAAATGATATATAATGTTGTAAGTATTTTTTTTTTAATAAAGGCTGCGACCTTATTGGTCATTAAGCCTTTAGTCTATACTAGTCAACGGTACAGCCCGGCCTCATCAGGGCGAAGCCCCCTCAAATCACGGCGCAGTGGCAGCCCCAGGCTTGAAGAGAACGGAACCCCACGGATCTTTCGAAGCTGATGCTTTTAATCTTAATATTGTGCGCAGGGCTTAAGTAAATTATTGAAAAGTAAGAACAAAAATAAAGGTTTCTTTTAGTTTCAGAATTTTTTAATAATATAACTGGGTCCTTACATAAAATAACCACTAGATCAAAGTTAATATTATTTAAAATTAAAACACATGTAAACCAAATAGTGAATAAAAATAAAGAGTTCCTGCCGTTGTGAATTTAAATAACATAAAATTGTTCAATATTAAAAATACCAAAGAAAAATTAATGACAATTAAAACTAAATCTGCAAAAAAAAATTTTTTGATTGTTCTACTAATTCATTTTTGTCAAAACGAAAATGATCAATTTATAAGACAATTATTTTATATTAAAAAGAGAACCATTTATTTTTAGATTTAATTTACATCACTTTATCTCAAATTAAAAGAGAATTTATTCATTTTTGTATTATATTTGATCTCATGTTTAATTTTAAGTGTAATTATTTTTTATATAGTTTTTCTAAGAGCTGATTTAATTTATATTGTAAAAAATTGCAATTATACGTTTTTTATTCAATACAATCTACATTTTTTATGCTTTAATAAAAGGCTTTTTGAAATTAAAAAAGGTTTGTATGAATTTAAAAAACAGTAAAGTGAAATTATAAAGCCAATATGAATTTAAAAATGGTTAATTTAAAATTAAAAAGGGTTAACTTGACAGAATAAACTAGATCAACAAGTATAAAAATTGAACGGTGTTTATTTTCTTTGCTTTTGAAACACAGAGTAATACAAAAATATAAACAAATAAGAAAAATATAAAATACGTTTAAAGGCATTATTGAATTTTAAAAATAAACATTAGCATAACCATATTTTTTGTATTAACTCGAATTTTCGCAAAGGTATTTATTGAGCAGATACTGAAGATTTTTTTTTTACAATATCATCAGGGTGAGGTGTACTAGGTTGGTAAAAAGAAACCTTTACAATACATCAACGAATACACGACGAGGGCCATATTTACCAAAATCATAATGGACATTTTTAAAATGAAAAAGAGCGACCTTGTTAAAAAATAGCCTCAGAAACCCGTTTATTGACCCTGGTTATTAAGCCTGGTAAACCTCATTCCTTGAGCTTTGCTAAGTAAATTGTTAAAGGCTCTGGGAAAACGAAATTTTTCGTAGATTGTAATTTACTACCGACCAACATTAGTAAGGCTTCATTGATCCAAATTGTTAAAGTTGTGCATTGGCAAAAAGACAGCTCAGATTTTCAACTCAATCAATGACATATAGAAATGAGTACATAACTATCTGCGGTAACTGGAAAACCCAATTCTTGGTCATGTAAATTTTTTTTTGTCTAATAGGTTTTTTGCTAAACATTTACCCCCTTTTTCGATTAAATTAGGCCTCAGACTTTGAATAATGCAAAACTGCATATTTTTCTTATTAGAGAAATCTTCAAATAATTTTTCATTTATAGTATCACTATTTTGTCTAAAACAGTAGAATCTAAGGTATGGAATCCCAATAATTGAGAATCTATGTTTCAAGAAAAATTCTTTTAAGGAGTTCCATAGCTTGGACTGTACTACTTTACACAAAATTAATATTTATGAAAGGTATTGGTTGAGATAAAAAAAAGTCAGTGTCACGAGCGGGATGCGAACCCACGACCTTCCGCTAAATACGCCGCTGCTCTACCACTTGAGCTATCGCGACTTCGATCCGCTTGGACACCCACGATCCATCAAGCCGAAGGTCGTAGGTTCGAATCCCGCTCGTACACTGACATGTTATCTCGACCAATACTTTCGTAAATATTAATTAATAGAAAAAGTTAACTGGTCAATCGGACCACGAACTGTAATGGATTGAAATCTTGTTTAGCTGAAAAACTAAGGTACTAAACAGTGCTGGAACTAAAAGAACTTTTCTTCAAATCTCTGTTTCCCTCTATAATATTTCTTTTTGTTAAAAAAATCAACAACCGATGGCAAGTTTAGAAAAGTTGAATATTCTTACCTTAAAGGCGTTGTGTGTCAAAGAGGTTTAATGGAGGGCTTTAATACATTCCAGCCTCATCTAAAACATAAAAGAGGAACATTAGAAGAAATTCATACTCGATTGATTATGTAATAAAATTATATATAGAATGATCGATATCTCGAAGCATACGTATATATTTTTAATAATAAATATAACACGTTAGAGTCTACGATACTCTATAAGTTATGATTGTGTTTCCAACGAGTTTAATAAAGTGGAATTTCATGTATGAAATTCTAGGGGAGAAACTTTAATGATTTTAGTCGAATAATTTCCATATAACAGGATAAATGTAAGTTTCTATTTAAACAAGACTACGTTTATTATTTGTTTAAAAATGATAAAGTATAGATATATTTAAAAAATTGACCAATAGAGGCTCATATTTTAAAAAGAAAACAAGTAAATCGCCGACTGTCAAACGGTGGTTGAGAAAAATAGAAAAATATCTTGATGGAGTGTGCGATGCGAATAGATATATAGAATGAAATGAATAAAGCGCAATTTTACGAAGGTTCGAAACAGCCTCGTGGTGCCGGTGTTTTTGAAAGCAAAAAAATCTCATTTGTAAGTATGTCGGGTTCGAATGCAGGGCCACTGGATTCGAACCCGGGACCTTTACCTTTCAGTGATGAGCACCGTGTCAAAATCTAAACCGTTGGGGCCACTGACTTCCCCAAGAGAATTATTAATAGAAATAATTGAGTTGGAGTGTGTATGTCACTTCTTGTTCAGGATGGACTTACAATTCTATGAACCGAACCATCCTGTACAAAAAGAGAATCATTGATTCTTGAAAGAGAAATAATAAAAAAGAAAAAAAGACCCAAAAAGACCTGAAAAAAATAAGAAAGAAAGAATGAATTATATGATAGGTACAAATATACAGAAGAAAGAGAAAGAAAGGGAAAGAATGAAAAGAGAGAAAGAGAAATAAAGAAAAAGAAAGAGAGAGAGAGAGAAGAAGAATTGATTAGTATATGCATATAAATATATATGATTTCAAAAAATCTACAGAATTGATATGTATATTTAAAAATATTGCTAGATTTATTTTTCTTCATTTTTTCACCAAATACAGTATCCCATTAACTGGGGAATTTATTGATTCTTGCTCCTATCATTGATAATAGGTATTTATTTACATATCTTATATAACATATTATAAGTAACAACACATGTAACAATAAAATTTCGCACAAAAAACATACCAAGAATTTTAGGAATCACTTATTTTCATTGAAAAATACGATGTACATATCTATTTATATAATACAAAGTTTAAGTTAAACTTTGTATTTTATTAAACTTTGTAAAACTTTGTACGGTACAATTCTATGAGCAGAATCATCCTGTACAAAAAGTGATTTGGGTGGGGATAACATTAAAATCTCTGAACTGCGGTAATCACTATAAATCAGTTTTAGAAGTAGTTTTGTTGATGTCAAAAAAAAATCGGATAGGAGATCTTGCTTATTTTCTTGTTTTACAGAGACAATATTTTACACGCCGAATTCTTCAATAAAAATTAGTGAATTGACACCATCTACACAGAAAACCAATTAATACAATCCAGATGCTTGAAATCAAGTAAAAACAAGACAACATATGTAAAATCTAAGAGTGCGAAGTCCTCAGTAAAACAACACCATTTCACAGCACACAACCGTAGATAAAACATGATTTTGAAAATAACTGTCAAAACACGCTAGTAAATCATTAAAGTATAAATAGTGAAAATTTGTAAACGAGTACAACTAGTAATACTAAATTAGTATTATCCGCCATTGTTCTAACCCCATATCGTACAAATCATTTTATTTTTTTTAAAGTAAAATGTTCGTATTTTCATTCACTTCTTGCGTTTTTTAGTATTATTGTAGCGTATTTTATTATTAGTCATGTGTAATCTAATATTCCTGTCTTCTATAACTGAAGCCAGTCCAAATTCAGTCTTTTTCACACCGAGTCAATTACTTAACTTGGCCAATTTGTAATGTTTTGATGAAACATAAAATTAAAACATTTCATTTAGGGGGTTCGGAAAGATATTTCGCTTGATATTTGGTTTACTTGGCCGTAACCGTTCAACGATTTCAACGAACGAGTCCGGCCGGCAGATTTACGTTTGAAGCCGACCCTAAACTCTAATATCCGGTTAACCCCCAACCCTTGTTGCTGAAAATATGTTACCATCAGAATTTCTTGCGGTTCCATGGCGAGGGGTGCGTGGAGATCGACCCTTTGCCCATGAGAAATTGGATCCACACAAATGATTGCCCGGCTACCGCTTCTTCAGCCTCGTTCACACAACATTACTGTCCAGCGTGTGCTGTCAAAACTAATAAAACCGTCCTTGCCAAATAAATAGACTCTTCTCTATTATACGTGTGTGTGTATTGGGTTGTCCAACAAATGTACGATTTTTGTAATAGTACGGATTTTTAATAAGATTTAACTATTATTATTGATTTCTTGCTTGATAATTATAATAAGTATATTTACATATATACTACTTATAACTGCATGAAATCGTCGTCTGCCAGATTTCCAGCTCCTTATTTAACCTTTGTTCTATAACGTACGGGTCAAAATGACCCAAACATTTCAAAAACGCGCGTGTGTCAGATGGTAGTGTTCGGAATGGGTTGAGGCTATGAGAACCTTCAAATTCACTATTTTTCGTGGTCCGCTTGACCAATTAATATCATTCAATTAATTAAGGTTTTTAGTTAATAAAGTCAGAGATAAAAAAGTCATTGTCACGAGTGAGATTCGAACCCACGACCTTCGGCTTGACACGCCTCTACTTAACCACTTGAGCTATCGTGACCTCGATCCGCTCGGACACTAACTTCCCATCTCAATCTCACCCCTCGAATTTTCCCTACTTTTTGCCAATTTTTAAATGCCGTATAATCTCTTTGATTCTTGGCGACAAATGAAATGGCCACGGAGAGCTTTCGTAAAGATATACTTCAGGTTAATTATTAAATCCATTACAGTTCGTGCTCCGATTGACCAATTAAGATTTTCCAATTAATTAATATTTATGAAAGGTATTGGTGATTCATTAGTCGCCGAGAATCAAATAGATTACACGGCATTTGAAAAATGACAAAAAGGAGGGGAAAATTCAAAAGGCGGTGTTGAGATGGGAAGTTAGTGTCCGAGCGGATCGAGGTCACGATAGCTCAAGTGGTAGAGCAGCCGCGTATCAAGCCGAAGGTCGTGGGTTCGAATCCCGCTCGTGACACTGGCTTTTTTATTTCAACTAAAAACCTTAATTAATTGAATGCTATGAGAAGCTTTCGTTCTAGTCTTCCTGTAGACGTGGACGCAACTGGAACCCTTTTCACAGGTAAGTGACCTTGCTATATTCGAATACAGTAAGAAAAATCTTGGTATAGGTCAATATTACCCCACGGTGTACGACATGTCTTTTAGTTTTAGATCAAATTTAATTTCTTTCCTATAAATGTAATTAGTTTTCTCGATGCTTTTCTTTGTAAACATTCTGGATTGTTTCATCTATGGCAAATAGCTCACATTTTGTAACTAACAAAAAAATTCGACGTGAAAAAGAAAGATCAGTGATAATGAAAACGAAGAATTTCTTTTCTGAAGAAGTAACTTACATTGTAGATGAAATTGATTTGTTTCCAAACGACAATGAAAAATCTGACGCTTTTGACGTTCTTCCTGTATACGATGCGCTATCGGAGGACCAGAAAATATTTCAAATTTCGGTTCCGAACATAGTCTACAAAGCAGAAACTTTGAGTTGGGCAAAGATGGCGAAACTATCTGGTCTGATACCGATTTTTAACCTCCATAAACGTCAGGGTGTCTTCAAAGAATATGATTACCCATTTGCCTAGTTCCAAAGGAAATGCTCGGAAGCTTGTAGATGAGGAACCATTGTATTCCTAGTTCATCAACCAAGCCATGATTGACGTCATTGTAAAATATACCAATGAAGAGATTTATAGAAAAAAACTCACTACAGGTCTGACCAGCACTATATTGGGCCCGCAGATGGTCTTGACGTTGAAAGCTTTGCTGGGCCTTTTATTTTTTAGCGGCGTTATGACGGATTCGAAACTTAATATCTCAGATATATTTTGCCGTCTATTTAGACCATCGATTTTTCGAGCAGTGATGTCCAAAAACAGATTTGTGTTCCTTCTTTGCTTTCCGTTTTTCGGAATACGTATGTCATCTTTGTTCCTTGTGATAATGTGTTCCATTTTTGTGGTTACCTTTTTCATTTTAATTTTTTAAGAATGTAATTTGCACTTTACGAAGAAGTTTGACTGTAGTTTCGTAGATTATATCAAAAAGTGGAAGTTAATTTTTTACAAAGAAAGATTTTGGGATTCGAGTTTTTCCTTGCTAAGCTGTTTTTTATTGTGATTACAATATGTTTGAAAGAATTTATTTTGAAACAAAAATGCGGTTTTGTATACTACAAGGTTAATAAAAGTAAGAACTTTTAATATAAGTTCTTCATATTTTCCAAAAAAATTGAAAAATATGTCTCATTGCACTTAAAAACAGAGTTGGGTCGTAATGACAAGAGATTGTAGTACATATCCGGGTGTTTCACGGCGTTGACCGAAGGATAATATATTAATGAAACTTTAAATAATTAAAAAACTATATTATCAAATATTGATAACATTCTTGTTGTTATTTTGTTCTGTAGGTGGTTGTTAAGATTTATTTTTTAACTAAAATTAAGTACATGAACATTAGACAGATGGTACATGCCTTCTGCTGGAGGTTGACGCGAAATACGTACTAAAAAAAGAAAAGTAAAATTGAAGGGGATAATATATATTTTATATCTAATCGGTACAACATAGTTTTCATATAAAAGCATAGAGTCAGTAACATAACGAGACGTGCAAATGGCTGCAGATTAAAAAAGCAAAGAGCAAATGACCAGAAAAAGAAATACAACTCGCAGGGTGAGGTGATGTCAGCTGTTTGTAGGACTTATACCTCCACCATTATACATTATTTGATTTAAA